CCTATAGCCCAACTTCCCTAGCCCTTTCTCCCCAATTTCCAAAAGCAACATGAAACCAAGTTGGAATTCTCTGTTACAGAAACCCAAATATTTTCTCCTAAGGTTTGGATAATGGGTCATTAAAGGTGCAGGAGGCGCCACATTCCAAGGTATGATGAACCTGAAAATTTTCCTTCCAATGCATGTTCACCAGCCTCCCAAAACTTATCAAAGCAGCCCTGTCCTGTCCTCATAAAACTCCCCCCAAATTCATCAGCTCCACATGCCAAGTGCCAGTTGCAGGGATGTTCAACAATATTTCTTCTACGCTTCAGTTGGAAATAGAGCCCCTTAAGTTCAGAGATGTAATTGGAGTAGTCAATGAAGTGTCCAGGGAGGAGTCCGTCTGTGACCATTTCCTCCCACCACCTTGGTGAGGAGAGAATGAGCTATTTAGGGGGAAGATCACAGCCTTGAGTGTGGAAAGACATGCCAAAACAACGGTAGCCAAACTTGCACTGCTTTCCCCCAAGCCTTCCAGTTGGAAGAAGCATCATGAGCTTTCACCTTGTCCAGGCGGGAAATGAGTATTCTTTGCTGGTTACAGAGGGCGCCCCAACCTGCATCCCGGGCACGGGCATTCAGGGAAGCCCCTTGGTAGAATCAGGCTTAGGTTTGTTTTGAGCTTGGAATTGACGATTGTGTCTATCACTTCCTCATGGACATCCCCTCCTGGAGATCTGGCGGGCTGGGCTACCATAAGCCACAGTGCAACGCGCGGTGCCTTCCTCTCTGTATTGCAGCAGGACGCGCAGGCCACTTTGGTCCCTTCGACCCCTTCCACTGTGTGGAAGATGAAGGAGCAGGAACAGTCCTCTGCCACCAAAGTCCTCCACCACCTCTGGAATGGCTTCATCTCTCTCTCAGTAGGAGCTAAGCAGCCCTGGGGCCGGAGGGAAGAACTTGCACACCTGAGCCAGACCTGAGGCAGGCCGGCCTGCCCCCCAGCAGGCAGCTGGGGCTGGGGGCGGGGGGGAGGGCAGCTTGGCCCGAACACTGCTTAGTCAGGCTCCCATGGGGGGGGGAGCTGCAGATGTGCCCAGACCTGCCACCACCAGGTGTCTGTGTCTGTGTCTGGGCCGGGAGGTGACGGCGCAAATGAGACTCTTGCCTCCTGCTGTTTCCCAACACTGTCCCCAGAGGAATGTGGAAGACTCAGGCAAGGCCATCTTTCACGGCCTCTGACACAGCCATAGCTCTCCAGCCGCCCTGCCACGTCCAAAGCCTTGGCCTATCCTGCCCCTTTGACCCTCACACAGTGCTGCCCACAGCCCCAGGGCTGGCTCCTCCCCGAGCCACGGGGCAGCTACCCACCTGCTCTGCTCCAATACGAGGCTTTCATCACTAGTGCCCAAACCTCCCAAGCTAAAGGTGTTTCTTTTCTTTTTAATATAATGCTCCCATGATTAAAAATGCCTTTTGTTGTTGTTAAAAAAATCTTTTTTGATATTCATTTGTCCCCACTGGGGAAGAATTTCACACTTCCCAAGGAGAAGCTATTCTGTATTTAACAGAATTGTTAATGACTAGAACAAGTCTTCCCCGAGTGTAAATATTGGAAAAGCACACCAGCCCATTAGTGGACTTTCGATGCAACACAAAAAGGTCGTTATTAATCTCTGTGTGGCTTCTGAGAATTCCATTTTAAGCTCAGGCAGGCTGTGAGCCATTTGCCATCAAGACGTAATAGACACTCTACAAAAGTTCACTGCACACCTACTATGTACTAAGCCCAGGCCTCAAGAAGACATCCCTGTACATAGCAGAAGGTGCAAATGAACAGCGCATTGGCCAGATTCAGCCTGCAACCATATTTTGTTTGACTCACACCATATCTATCAAAAATTTGAATCAGTTGCCAACTTCTAAATATCAGAATATTTCCAGCTTCTCTTGAAAACCCAGGAAATCTGGCAAAACCGAGCTCACATTCCTGGCTAACAACTGCCCACTTCAGACAGGCACAGGCTCTCAGTTCACACGGCCCCCACCTGCCCTGCTTCCCTCCAACTCAACCTGCCCAGAGCCTCAGCATCTTGCAGCGTATGTCAGGGTGGGCAGTTACAGCACACCCATCCACCCACCCGGCGGAAGGCCTCACTCAGACACAGAGCAACCCAACCTGGTCTCTCAGTTAAGAAGAGCTGCTTCATGCCTCCAAAGAACAGCTCCCACAGTTTTTTTTTCTGATTTTGTGTCTTCTCAGCTTTTCCTCTTTTTAATAAAGATTTTTTTTAAGTCCCTGGTAATGTAAAGTTCGGGGAAACATTCTGTTTTTTTTTTTAAGACAAGGAATTGAACACAAAAGGAAAATGACAAGCTGGAAGCACAGAAAGCAACAAGTGAGGACTTTGAGAGCAGGACAGGCCCCCAAGGAGGCCCCCGTTGGCCAGATGAAGAGGCTGAGGCCTAGAGAAGGCGAAGGTCACGCCCAGGTCCCACTACTGAGCGGTAGGAGAACAGAAGCTTGATCTGAACAGTCTTTACCCAGCCGGTGACATATTCTTTCTACACGGAGGGGTGGTTTCTCTGTCCCAGCTTCTGCTTCTGGGTTTCCAAGGAATGGCAGAGAAGCCCACCAGATCTGGAAATAAATGTGAGGATTGATTTCACCAGTCGCACGGGAACATCAGATACAGGATTCTAAATGAACCTGCAGAGAATTAATTAGCAATTTTCATCTAGACCTACTGATTCCCTAGATATGGGTCAAAATTGTCATATTTGAAGAAATGTGTCTGTTGATCTTGATGGTGGGTGTTGGAAGAGGCAGCCTGTTTGGATGTTTTTCAAATGACATATTGCCAAAATCTTCCTTGTGTTTTTAACCAGGAATAGAGTTAAACAGGTTCATGTTAATATTTGTTGCTAGTGGAAAATTTTGCTAAAGCAAATACAATAATTCAGTTGCAACTAACACGAAGATGCTGACCAAAGCTCTTCTATTGGACATATTCAAGGTACTAAAAGTGGACCACTGCCTGGGACTTAAAACATTTTGGTGTATTTCTGATAAGCATATATGGCCATTCAATAATACTGCAGCCAAGAACTCCTCTGTAACAAACTTAAATTAATTCAAAAGCCAGCTTTATGTCCAGCAGAAAGGAGGGGAAGAGAGCAGCCTTTGTAGAACAGAGACGATCCTCCTTAGCCCCACCAGTCTGGCCAGGGACACGGTTTCATGCCTACTTTTGTAGACAAGGACAGTGAGCCAAGAAAGCCGACTTCCTCGGCCAGTTTCCAATTGCTGGGAACTGGCTACACCTGGGTCGTTCTAACTCCAAACCCTGAGCCTTGTCTGCTACAGTGGCTCAGAGCACGGAAGCCACTGAGAGGAGCAAGGGGTTGGTGGGGCTGGGGAGACTTCTGAGAAGCCGTGACATTTGAGAAAGACCTTGAAGGATACTTTGTGTCACAATGGGCAGAGAAGAGAGGAGCACAAAGGCCTCAAGGCTGAACCCCGGCAGGGAGGGGGAAGTACACAGAAAAACGGAAGGTGAGGAGTTTAGGTTTGGAATTCACAAAGCAAAGCTTCATAATAAAGTTCCCATGTGAAAAAACATGAATCCTCCCAACACCTGAAAGACAGGCCGCCTCACACCTACAAGGAAGGGCCCCACACTGCAGACCAGGATACTTAGGTGGCCAGAAGACCAGGAATGTGTGTCCAGCCTGTGGAGAGGCAGCAGGGCCCTCTGGACCCCAAAGAGCCGGCGGACCACACTTTCTTCCACGTACACCCTGGTGGCCCCTTTCCCTGCTCTTCCCCTCAGAGGTCTGCGCCTTTCAGAAGCAGAACCAGGCTCCGCTGTCTGCCTGACTGCAATGTGTTTCTTCCTCCCAACTCACATCTTCTCCCCCAGCCTGAGATTAAGGACGGGTTTTGTTTCCGGCCCTAGGATCGACACCCGCAGCAAGGTAGGTAGAATAAACTGCAGCACGAGGAAGCAGGACCCCCCTCCCCCACCCGGTCGGGCCTTTAGAGAATCTTTTCAGGGAACTGAGGAGGGAGGGGAGAGAAGGCCTGATTCTGCTCAGGTTCCGTGTCTGCCCGCCCAGGGGCGTTAGAAGAGCTGCGTCCTGCCTCAGCAGCTGTGGGCGATCTCTGCCAGCTCCTCGGCGGGGTGAAGCCTCGTGGGTTCTCCGGCCCAGGAAGCCGGTTCTCCCAAAGTCTCCGCCCCATCTGCTCCTGGGGGCCAAGCTCCTGTTCGGTTTTTCCAGGACATTTAATTTCCCTTTATCCTTAGCGCCCTATACGAGAGGTAAAAATAGAATCCCATTTTACAACGGAAGCAACTGAGGCTCAGAGAGCAAAGTCACTTGTCCTGGGACAGCGGTACAGCTGGGATTGGAACGCCCAGCACAAAGGGAAAGGAAGGGGGGGGGCTTTCTGAGTTCTTAGAGCCTCCTGGGGACCCCCTTTCTCCACCTCCTGGAACACGTGCCCACACTTCCTCTGGAAATAAACTTTCTGGGGGCGAGGGTGGCGCAGCCCTCTCCTTGGCCGCGGTGGGACCCCGAGGGCGCCCCCAGGGTAGGTAGGGCGGCAGAATCATCCCCCGAGACCCGAGCCAGGGAACTTCAGAGCGTTTCGCCCTTCCCCGGGAGAGGCAAACACGGACACGTCTGTGTCTTTGCCGACAAGTGCCTTCAAGCCCGGCGGGGGCAGACACCTCCGCGCCGGCCGCCGGCGAGGTCTCCGCTGTCTGCGGGGGCACGGCCTCGCATCAGCTGCGCCGATTTAGTGCGTTCGCCGGCCGCCGGAGCAGGAGGCGCTTCCCGGGCGGCGCAGCAGCGCCCGCGGCCTCGGGCGACGCGGCGGC